GAAGGATTTCTTTCATGTTTGTCACATCCTCCTACGGGCCATTTGTGGATTACAAACATCATTAGTCTAAGATGAGTTATTATTTCTGCAGGTTTGAAGGAGGAGAGGCAGAGAAAACGTTGCTCTGAAGTATCTGAGCTCTGCTAAGATACGATGAAGGGTTTTGTTATGGTTTACTGTGACCTTTGTAATTCTCATCTCACTTCTGAGTTTGTGTGGCTCAGGATGAAGGAAGATGTACCATATGAAACCTATCTGTACTGTTCAGGTGAAGATCAATCAAGATAAAGTGTCATAAAGAACAGGATGGAACTTCTTTATCACCTTAATATATGAACAGTTTAGTTTGGGGAAATTTTCTATTACTTTGGAGCCAGTATAATAGGGTAAACTTCAAGGACAACAAAAATGGTAATCTATGTGATATATAGTTCAGCCTAAAACTTCCCACAGTAAATGACAGTACTCTAAATGAAAGTCAAGTTATACAAATTCCCCCACTTGCCTATCATCTAGTTGCAGGTCTCATTTGTAGAATGAGAACTGACTTATTGTGGTCCCACATAGGGAAGTAACATTGAAAGAGCAAAGATTGATGAGGCCGTGAAAGTAGCTGCAACGAAAACATCTGTCAAGAGGTCATCTTTGTATTTTCATGATGTTGTTTAGTCATGAGTGAAAACTTACTGTCGTACTGAATGATTCATGTGGGGTGTGTATCATTCAGTACATTTCTAAGTGTTTCAGAAAAATAAAAAATGAAACAAATCTAGTTCCAGATGATGAAATTTACCTTTACAACCCATTGCATGAGCTTTTCATCTCTCAAAACTTTGTATTTCTACATGTCAGACTAGAGAGACAGGAAAGGATTTTACAAATGGGCTCTGGTTTCTTTGACAAAACGTAATTCCCAATATAATCCACTATAATTCAGTGTTGAAATATCTGACTGCCTGAAGATCTGTACAAACACAGAGAAAAGGAATCCAGCCACCTCTACCTTGTTCGTGCCAGTCAGATGTCACGACAGGACTTTACATGAAAGAAATTACAGTTGCATTGAGAGCAAAACAAAAGCTCTAAGGGAAGGCCAGCAGCTGTTCTGGGAAGGAGACCAGGCAGATGTGTATCAAATATTAGTCTACCTTTTTCATTTACTATTCTTGTTGCTTAAATAAAAGGGAGATACCTGTATTCTCACCCCTTTGCTCGAAGAGGGACACGGCTTCCCTCTTTAAGAGAAAAGACCTTCATCATGCCTGTGGGGACCTGTGGAGTCAAGTGGCAGTAGCTGTTGGTGAGCAGCAGTCCCGCTTGCTTCTAGCTCTTTTGTCCTAACTTCTGGCTCCCTTCTTGCTCAACTGTATTGTAATATGTATACCAAAGACGTTTCAAGTTATGGTATTGGTGTGGTTTAACCCCAGCCAGACAGCTTGTTCACCCACTCCCCCCCTTCTTGCCCTCCCCCTACTCCTGGAGGGACGGAGAGGAGAATTAGAAAGAATGCAACTCCCATGGGTTGAGATAAGAACAGTTTAGTAACTACGGTAGAACACAAATCACTACTGCTACCAATAATAGTAATGATAAAGGAAATAACAAGGGAAGAGAATACAACACCTCAGCACCAGGTGACCGATAACTTGCCCCCCCAGCCTGACCAAGCACCGACCGATACCTCCTCCAACCCTGCAGTCCACTCGCCCTTTCAGGTAAGTCCCACACACTAACTGAAAGTAGTGCATGAGAGCAGTATGATGATCAATGAGCTTGTGGGGGGTAAAAAAGCAAACACAAAGAAAATAATTATAAATAAAACTTTGCTATCAGTGTCTCCCAGGAGCACAAGACTTTTGTCATGCACAGACTCTGTTGCAGCAGGTTCTCTATCCATCTCTATGGGCACCAAAATGTAAGTGGGGATAGGCTGGAGGCTGAACTCAATTTCACTGCACAGCTACCGAGAGTGAGCTCAGCTCAAGCCATTACCTCTGCCTGCCAAGCTCTTGCCCCATACCACAGAAGACAGTAGATTTCATGCTTTTCATTTCAGTACCATCTCAAATACAGTTGCTTAGCACAGACAGACTGCTGGCTAAGCAGAAGAGCAGTTCAAAGGTAGGCATTGCATTTACATGGTGCTTTCTGCAAAGAAGGTCTAGACTTCACTGCCTCTCTGCTGCTTCAGATCTTTCACATTTTCATGCTATTATAACAAGCTGTTTTCCATCATGGTCTTGATGTACTCATCTTGTTTTTCCTCCTTCCTGTCCTCTCCTTCTCTTCCCTCCACCTTCCAGTCCCAAAAAGCAGATTGTGAGACAACAAGTAGAAATGATGCTAAAGAAAGCCAAAGGCAAGAGTTGGATGACTGTGATGGAGCATCTTCTCCCTTGCTATCCAGTTCAACAAGCATATATTGTTTCTAAAATACAGGTTCTGCTCACCATTAGTGACAAATTGCTCTTTTCTTTCACCTCCAACTAACCTGCTTGAAACATAGGTTGAAATAACCTCAAGAGTTGAGTGCTAGAACAGATTCTGCAGCCCACCTGCTTTCTCTGAACACACACATATACTGACTGTCTGCCACAGCTCCTCTGTCTAAATGAGCTCCAGATCATCTGGAGTCTGTTTATTCAGTCTGGGATGCTACTTGCCAGACTTTCCTTTCTGCAATAAGCTTCTCTGGAAAAACAATAGTTACTTGCCTTGCTATCCTGAAAATGACTATTGGGTTCATAGGGACATAACTGCAAAGTATTAACCTAGGTGGTCAAACATGAGATGGGTGAAGGAGGAAATGAGCTGTAGCCTTAGCACATTGGGGATGGAGTGTGTGCAGCGTCAACTTGGGATTGTGTCTCCTGTGGAAATCCTTGTCAGAGAATGAGCTTTTCTTTCCTGCCATTCCTCCGAGGAGCTGCAGTTGCATCAGATCAAATTAAGAAAGAAATAAAGATGTCCCCAGATGGGATGTCTGAGTCACTGCCTCTCTAAGGAAGAACTGAGGTGGGACAATGTCTCCTTTACCATTGCATAGGGAACAAAAGGAGGCAGTAAATACGTGATTTTCATATGTCAGCACCAGTGGTTCTCAGCAAGGCCCAGGGTGCTGTGATCCCAGGCCCAAGAGAGGCTGAGCACTGCTGAGCTCCTTCAAGGACTATGGCAAATGCAACTATTCTGTTCCTTTCCAGGTGAGCTCCTCTGGCTGCAGGCTATAACCTTGTAGGGAAAAATCCCAAACTTTTCATTAGGTCCACAAAGTTGTCCAAATGATCCTGAAACTAACTCCGATAACATTTAGAGTTGTACTCTCCATGTGCTTGCTCTGGTCTGCAGCTCATTTGGAAAAGGCCTTCAAGGTAGATGTGAAGAGGATTGCAGCCTCTATTAGCATGACCTGGTGTCATGTATATCCTCCTTTCACATGACCAGGGTGGACTTTCTCACTGCTTGGTCTCACAGTGGTCCAGCTCCACCTTTCTCTTCCTCATCCCAACATTTCTAAGTCCTTGCTATTCCACTGTATTTTTTTCCCACTCTTTTATGGTTTTAGGTACTGATATGCAACTGTGTGATGCTTCTGATTCCATGATTCTTCTCTTGCCCTACAGCAATATGAGGTCATGTTCTTTTGCGTTGAGTCCTGCCATTTTAGGTTCATGGCATTATCTTGCTAAGAACTTGACCAATTATGTGAATAAGGAGTAGTGGTCACAGAGTGATACCTAATGTGATGGGCTATCACATGGCAGGAGGAAGAGTTGAAAAGGGCAGCTAACAGGAACTTCAGATTTTCAGAGTGAGTGAAGGGTGATGCCCCTAAGGGCTGTGAAGAGGCTGAGGTCCTGATTACTTCACAGACACCACCCAGAATGATCATGAAGCAAATTCTCAATCAGATAAAACCCCCTTAGATCTGTCTTCAGAATGCCACTCTTCCTTGCTACCTTCACCTTCTTTCTTGGCTTAACTACAGGAGTTCAAGTTAGTCTTTTCTAGGGCTTGTAGCTGAATTATCAGTTTGTCTTTTTCATTTTCACTTTCTGTTTTCAGTTTAAATCTTTTAATCCTCTCTTTCATTACTTCCTGGTTTAGATTTGGCCTTTATCTCTTTAGTTCTAGACAAGCTTCCTTCCAGTAACTTCATTGTTTGTCCACATAGGTAAAGCTTGCACATTTATGACAGCATTAACTGGTACACACCACCATTTTCTTAGCAGAGATGCAAGACAATGCCTTTGTCTGGATTGGAGTATGAGTAAGTACGATGAAAGAAACTCTCCACCTTTAACAAACCGTGAGAAGTCAAGTGCCAGGCTGCCTGTTCTTTATTTCCTTCTGACAAAACTCTGTTTTGGTTGTCTTATGGTTCAGCATCTTTCCTGGAGTGAGCTCCCAGCCAGTGCTTATCAAGCCAAACAACAGAAACTCAGTGAGTTGATGCTTGTTGTCACCAAGGTGAATGGAAGCCAGTCATCCTGCTGGTACCACCTCAACCAGTTCCAGTTCCTGGTTCCCAGAAAGCTCTGAACATTATAGGAATAAGGAAACACTGCTGCTCCTAAAGACTGTGCGCAATTGGTCCAGTGTCTTGTCTCTGTGGGAGGCAGCAGTTCTTGGCTCCTCTTGGCTACAAAATGGGGATCCAGTACCTGTTCAAAAAAGTCTTTTTCAAGATGCAGCAATTTCCAGCCCCTGCCCCGGCTACATCCTGAGCATAATCAGCCTCACTGGAGTCACAAATGCACTCACTTCCTCAAGTGATAGTAGCATTGATTTTCGCCTCGCCACTATGACGTTTTCATTAGGGTGAACCTTGGATTTTGTCAGTCACCAAAGGCAGTTCAAGCAGTCTACGTTAAACCTGCCTTGATTTCTCTAGGCAAGTAAGTCACCATAACACCTACACATGGCGACCTCCAGAACAGTGCCACCAACAGGGCAACCCATCCTTGCTTAGTCCCATAGAAAATAATCTGGAAAGCAAACCACCTCCTTCCAAAACTGCCTTTTCTGCTGGGAAGGAATGGAAATGTCCCTGTGAAGCTGGCGGTGCTGTTTGTGTGTGAGATGCTGCTGCTGTGGGCACAGAGCCTGCAGCCAGCAGAGCAGGAGCAGATTCGCATCCCAGGTGAGTTGCTTGTGGGTGTGATGGGGTGAATATTTTACCCTCAGAACGGCTCATAAAGTGTTGATGCATTGCAGGGCTGTCCTGTGCTCTGATTGCTTCTCCTGATGTGAAAGCCTTTTAGTGGTTAGAGAGGAAGTTGCTGTGCAGGAGGTGAGTTATGCTTGCAGCTACAGACTTGGTTTTGTTCTTGCAGGGCCTGTGACAGCGCTGTTGCATGGGACATTACTGTAGATGCTTGTGGTCCCTCGAGGACAACAGTGCCTTCTGCTTTGTATCCTGGAGCAGGACTTCCCAACATATATCCATCTCAGGGTGAGTGCTTTTTGGGTTTCTCTTCAGTAACGTGTGTGTGTGTGTGTGTGTGTGTGTGTGAGTTGCAGTTCGCCTGCTCTCTGCACTGTTCCAGCACAGTGTCACGGGCACGTGTGCCATCATGACACATGATGTGAGTGATGCAGAGGGTTGACCAATGTACAGGGGGGTTGTACAAGGGGGTTAATATTAATTGTTTTAATATTGATTACTTGTGGCATAACAACATTTTCTTCCTGGAGTTATAAATGATCTATGATAAATCATGAAGATTAAAAAAAAAATAATTTAAATATCAAGTAGAAACAGGAAACTATTCCAAAAAAGCTCTGGATGGTAATGGTACTATATAAAATGTTGCAAAAGAACTTGCAAAAGGACAGAAAAAGGGGCATAGACATTTGTTGGTACTAACAGACACCTTTTCAGGTGGGCCAGAAGCCTTTCCCACTGGAAGTGCACAAGCCTGGGAGGTAACAAAGATACTGTTAAAGGATGGTTGTGAGGATTTCGAAGGCATGTGCTGCATGAACTTATCTGACCATTCTGAATCAAGCTTAGAACTGTTGGAGGTGGATTGGATGAATGGCTAAATAACGGAGGAATTACTGGATGGTTCAGGGAAATACTTAAACAAGGCCTTCTAATCTTAGCTATAGGACTATTCGTTTTAATGATTGTACCTTGCATAATACAATGTATACTGAAATCACTTCATAAATCAATAGAAGGAACATGGATAGCTCTGCCATAAATAACAGAGTAAAAGAATTTACTCACTTTATAGAAAAAGGGGGGATTGATGCAGAGGGTTGACCAATGTACAGGGGGGTTGTACAAGGGGGTTAGAGGAATTTGCTTGCTTAAACAAAGGTATTGTCTGTACCTATCATGCCTACTAAGCAGAACAGAGGCACTAACTATTGATACGGAAAAGCAGACACCTGGTTCTATTGACAAGGAAAAGCAGACGCCTGATTCTACTGATAAGCAGCTATTAATAAGGAAAAACAGACTCCTGAATCTACTGTTAAGGGGGAGAAGGGATGGTTTATGGCTGGGACCAAACCCTAAGGCCAAAGGTAAGGACTAAAAGGTGATAAGTTCAAGAAGAGGAAGACTCATTTACTTCATCTTGAGACCCCTGCCCATAACCAGAGGGGGCACTGTGCAGGCACAAAGGACCTTCTAGCTCATTGTAATACGAAGCGGAGATAGGACATGAATACGTATAGGTGTATGGTGCAACCTTATAAATGTAGAGGGAAACAACACTGGGGCACACATGACTTTGGGGAATTATCCCTGTGTGTCTCAGCGCTGAATAAAAAGCATACCTACTTTCCAACTTTAACGAGTTGTGGAGTCAATCCGCGCATCATGAGGACTGGCTGAGAGGGTAATGACAGCCTGGGTATCAACCGGTATCAAACTCCATCCTGAGCATGAGGCCAGGATTTGTGTTGCAGCAAGGATTTCTGGCTCTAAATGCTAAGAGCTCACCCATCAGAACTACCAGGGAGTAAGGAAACTCTGGGTTTATTCCCCCAAGGGAATCAAGAGCTAGTGAGTAACTCGGTGGGAACTTGTGACAGCACAATGTGAAGTGTTTCTGATGGAGTGGTGGGTTTACAGGTTGCCCTGAGCACTAGAAAGTCTTCACCTGGAATAGTCTGTGCCAGTCACATCCCACACCTTCAGGAAAGATCAATTTCAACCAGATTCACAGAGATGCTGCTGAGGGATTGGGAGAACGTTCCCTTTGGAGGTGAGAAACTGCAAAGAGATCCCCACTGTGTAGCCCACGTGGCAGAGACAGGATCGTGCAGAGGCAGGATCTCGTTTTGGGATCCCCCTTGTCACTGTTCTTGGATCTCAGAAATAAATACCAGGACACAGAACCAACAGCTCTAGGAAAGCACCGAAAGGGCATCCAGGGGGTATAAGGTAGCACTTTGTCCTTTGCTTTCTGCTGTGTGGCTTAACTGCCCTTTCTCTATCTTTTATTAGATAACAAGTTAACAGGAAACGGGTTTTGGCCACCGCACCGCTCCCGCACCCTGCCGCCGGCAGCCGCTGATTGGTCAGTTGCGTCCGTGCCGAGCTCTCTCCGAGGCTACAACTGGTCCCGGGGTGCGGTACCGCTCGCAGCCGCCAGGCGGCGATAGCAAGCACGGCACGCTCCGATGGGTGCATGGAGCAAAGCGGGGCTCTGCTGCCAGCGCCCGGCGCCCGGCTCGGGGTCGCTCCGTGCCCTTGGCGACCCCCGCGGCTCCTGGGAGGTGCCTGGGCCCGGCGGGTCGCTGCAGCCGCCCGTTGGCAGGGTCTGAGTTCAGGGGTCCTTGAGCTGCACATGGGGGATGTGACGCCCATCCCTCTCCCACACGGTGTGCTTGGGGTCAGCACTGTGCCCTCGGAACTGGCGGGGTGAGGGGAGCCGCGTCCGGGGTCCCCTGTGGTGCAATTAATGCTTTTGCAGGGCGGCATTTTTGTGTTTTAATGCCCATGTGTGATGTGAGCGCTGCTGGATTTGCCGCATCCCGCAATGAGACACGTTCTCTGGGCTGCAACCGCCGCGTTTCCAGCCCTGAACAGGCCAGGATGGTTTAGGCTGCCCAGGGGGGACATTCCAGCACACCGGACCATGATCTCGGCATCGGAACCCCCAACCTGAATGAGTGACTGAGATTCTTGGGGGGTGTCCATAGAGCAGGAGCAGAGACCAAGGGGGGTTGCAGCCCATTAGTGCCTTAATGCCGGTGAGCATCCCAAGGCACTCAACTGCCTCCGCCTGCCTTCTGCTGCTGGGTTTGTCAGCAGCTGCCTCTGCTTCCCAGCTCTGGCTGCGGGCTCCTTCCTCCAGGTGCAGACCGCGTCTGGTTTCTGCTCCCCAGCTCTTTCCTGGAGCAACTACCAGGAGGACAGATTCCTGCAGCCTGGCGCTGGCTCTGCCGCAGCCAGGGAGAGCTGGGACCGGTGACTGGGGGAGAGGGAGGATGCTGGGGGAGGCTGGTTTCCACTGCGGCGAGGAGGCGAGGAGACCCCGGTGAGGGCGCACAGGGGCGTCTGGGGAGGTGGGAGTGGGGGCTGTCGGGGTCCGGCCCCGACCATTGGTGCTGGTGGGTGTCGGCCCCAGTCTGGGGCTGCCGGGGTCGGCCCGTGTCGCTGCTGCCGCAGGGGGCAGGAGGATTTTCAGCCAGCTCCTGGCTCTCGCCCGCCCTTTCGGGGAGAACAGGGACATTCCTGGGGCTCGGCCCTGCTTCTACCTCCCCGGCTGCCTCGGGGGTGCGGGGCCAGGTTGTGGGGCTGGCCTGGGAGCAGCTCTGGGGCTGTTTGTGCTGCCAGGAGCTGACTGTGCTGTTTGTCCCTGCACAGGGCCGGACACATGGATGAGCAGAGGAGCCCCAGCAGCAGCCGGGCTGCCTGTGCTGAGGCCGATGCTGCTGCCTGCCCAGTGACAGTGAGAGGAGTGTGTGGCTCCAGCGCGGACATGGCCACAGGTTGGGGGCTTGGGCCCCGTTTTGATCTTGGGTTTTTGGGTTGGGTTTTGTTTCGCTTGTTTTGATGTTGCTTGTTTGACTTGAGTTTGGGGTTTGATTCGGGTTTGCGTTGGTTTGCGTGGTGGTTCAGGTCCCCATTTCTTTCAGGCCCAGCTCCTGTTCATTTGCAGCTCTCACTGGTTTCTGCTCTGGGTTGGAGTCCAGCTTATGGACGTCTCCTCTCCTTCTCTTTGGTCACCTTAAATTCCTTGCAGCAGGCACTAGAGCTTAATGCAGACTTGGATATGGACAAGGTGTTCCAGGAAAGGAGAACTGGGAGGAGAGCAGGGAGCGTCCTCTCTGATCTACAACCTGTACACATGTACATCCAGTCCACAAAACTGGAGTGAGCTGCCCAGAGAGGCATTAAGCAGATGGAGCTTTAGGTGGGTAAGCAAGGGTGGATAGCCATGTTGGTGGTATAACTGCATGCAGCAGCAGTGCGTATGCTCATGTTTAGGTCTGCTCACATTAGTAGTAATAATTAGGATAAAGCTGCTTCTGTCTTTAACACAGGATCTGTTATGTCATGAGAGATTCCACGTCCAGACCCTGCTCCTAAGCTTAAGGGATCACGACAGAAAGCGGGTGCTGGGCATCTCCTATACATGGTGCACCTGGTAGGTAATGCGGGAGAACCGCGAAGTCTGGTGCGTACCTGAAGGAGATTTGACTTTGGGTGAGGATAGCCAGTGAATTAAACTGTGTGATGCTGGATCATATTGAATGTGATCACTTCCGTGGTGGCTGAACACCCATCACTGTGTGGAACACCTCATGGCGCCTGTCCCCACCGCTCTGGATCTGAGGATCTGACTCCCTTGATCACCGCATTAATGAAGAACGGACTTAGATAAAATGCCACGGTGATGGGCTCAGAACTGGCTTTTAGCTGAGCTCTGGAGGGGATGAGTCACTCCAATTTTCACAGCTCACTGGTTACATTCTCTGTGTTTTCTACCTGTCAAGTGATAAAAGCCAATCTTACACATTAGTGCAGAATTTGACTGTTTTAGCAATTCTCTTTTAATTCAGATGGTTTCTGCAATGACAATGTATGTGCTGGGTTAGAACTTCGGTTTAAATAGGCCTTTCAAATAACGTTTTAACTTTTCAGCTGCTGTGTTTACAGTGATAGTTGATGTGGAGGTTTGAAAGGCTGTGCTTTGTACTGAAGACTGTGAGGATGGAGGCACAGACCCAGAGGTAGAGTGCAAGCTGGATCGTTTATTGCAAAGATTACATGTTATTTATACACTTTCAGGCAATTAGCCAAGCACATCTGTGTCTGCCTTGCGGTTACATCAGGTGAAAGGTCCATCTGATTTTCTTACCGACATCCTCTTCCCAGTTCCGATGTTCTTGTTCCTTCCCAGTTCCAACATCTTCCAAGTACCAGCCAGGGACGGGTCATTCCTAATTGCCTGCTGTGGTTCTTCCTTCCCGTGGTCTCTGATAGTTTCAATACATTCCAACCCCCACAGAAGACAAGTGATGAAATGTTTGTACTAGAAATGTTTAATAGGCTAATTTCAAAGGTTATGAAACTGGATCTCCTGCAGTGCAGTACTTTAAGTTTATACACACAGGTAATAAATAGAAATAAGTAACTTCTGGGATAAGATGTTTTTATCTATTGCTGTTAACAGGAACTGGGTGTGATTTATTTCACCTCCTGGATGTTCTTTTATCCTCTGCTCAGGCAGCAGCATTGCAGATAGCTGCAATAAATTATTTTTCTTTAACTGCAAGGGGTGTTGTGTCTCTGTTTCCTCTGTGGTTTAATGACAAAGGATGGAGTGTCCGCTTGAAAGAAAGGCTTCATGTTTCAGTCATTGTTACTGACACTTACCAACAAATAGATCCACACAAATGTAGATTGAGCTGAGCTCTGAGGCAGAAGCTCTTCCCTGTGAGGGTGCTGAGGCACTGGTACAGGGTGCCCAGAGAAGCTGTGGCTGCCCCATCCCTGGCAGTGCTCAAGGCCAGGTTGGACAAAGGGGCTTAGAACAACCTGCTCTAGTGGAAGGCATCCCTTGCCTATGGCAAGGGGTTGGAACTGGATGAGCTTTAAGGTCCCTTTGAACCTAAACCAGTCTGGGATTCCGTGAATCTCGGTCACTCATCACTTCTTGGAGGTGGACATGACGCCCTGTTCCATTGCCCAAGCTGAGCTGTGACCCCTTACATGCTCCACCTCCGGTCAAAAGGCGCTGAGAAAGAGCAGCGTGTGTGGGACATTCCCCAGCTGGCTGGGCATAGACTGGTCCTCCCACAGTGACTGCTGCTCCCCAGCTCCCTGTGCCCGTAGTTGTGGTCACTGCCTTTTCCTTGCCATGGGCAGATTCTCGGTCTGCAGCTGAGGGTTCTTGGCTGGGGTGGGGGGGAGCTGGCCCTGGCTCTCCGCGCTGTCAGGTCTGGCCACGGGACTGAGTGTTTGCCAGCGGGATTTGCGTTAGAGCACGCAGTGTAGGGAATGCAGGAATCTTTCTTGTTTGCTTTCCATGCGGACTGAAATAAAAGGAAGCACTTGATGCGATGGAGCCATCGCTTTATCGTGAGACTGCGGGATGAAGGATGCTGCAATGGTGCTGGGTGCGGAGGAGCACAGCGAGACTGGTCCCCCAAAGGGCGCCGAGCCGCGGTACCCAGGACCATCCCCGAGAGCAGCACAGGAAAGGCTGGATTCAGCCCTCTGGGGTGGTGGTGGTGGTGGGGGGGTGCGTGCGATGAACAACGGCAGCGCTCATCGGGAGGAGTGAGCAGGACAAGGTCTGGGCACCGCCGGGAAACATCGAGGCAGCAGGGAAAAGGGATCAAGGAAGGAACAGGCTCCCCCCCAAAGGGCTCGGACGAGGAGCACAGCGGAGATGCTGGGCAGGGCCTGCTCCGCCGTTCCATGGGCTCCCGCTCCGTCCGGTGGCAGCGGGTGTCCGGGGCACACAGTGCCTGTCGCAGGGGTGTCTGCAGCGCGTATCACTGCGGTTGGAGTAGCGGCAGTGCCTGTTGCTGGGGTTGGAGTAGCGGCAGCGCCTGTTGTTGGGCAACATTTTGTCTTCAAAGTGAAAAAAACTATTTGGAAGGCCTATTTAAAGCCAGGTAGCAACCCAACAAATATGTTGTCATTGCAGAAACCATCAGAATCGAAAGAGAATCATTAAAGCAGAAGTCTGCAGTAATGTCGAAGATGGGCTTTTATCACTCAACAGGCAGAAAATGCAGAGAATGTAACAGATGAGCTGTGAAAACTGGAGTGGCCTCTTCCCTCCAGAGAGAGCCAGTTCCAATCCCATCCCCTGCAGCAACTTGCCCAGTTTGATCCAAATCCATTCTTCATTAATGTGGTGATCGAGAGAGTCAGGTTCAGATCCTCAAACCCAGAGTGGTGGGATCAGGCGCCACGAGGCGTCCTGCGCAGTGATGGGTGTTCAGCCACCATGGAAGTGATCACATTCAATATGATCCAGCATCACACAGTTTAATTCAATGGCTATTCTCACCCAAAGTCAAATCTCCTTCAGGTATGCACCAGACTTCCCCATCCTCCCTCATCACCAACTAAGTGCAACGTGTGTAGGAGATGCTCAGCACCAGCTTTCTGTCCTGGCCCCTTAAGCTTAGGAGCAGGGACTGGA